TTACCTGTTTACCACTTGGTATAACAACGTCTCTTTTGCTTGTTTTTACATTGCATAAATAATCACTGTCAGCACTTTGAACAAAGTTAATTAATGCTTGTGCTGCACTATTGTCAAGTCCAACAAATGAAGATTGAATTTCTGACAATAAATCATTGTGTTTATTTGTCACAATTTCTTCAATCACATTGTAGCCTATTATTGGGTGCTCAATTGTTTCAGTTGTAACCAAAAATGGCACACGTACCTGAGTGTTCTTTGAAGACAAGGTAAATGCTAATTCAACCCAACCAATATATGGTATAACACTACCATTTGCTGCTGTGAGTTTTAGGTCAGTCTCGACAAGTTCCGACAAACTTCTTATTTGTTTTATTGGGTGACTTTGTGTCAAAAACCTTTCTGAAACCAAAGACACTTGGGCCCCTGTGTCCCAAAGCACATTAACTTCTTTATTGTCTAATTTCCCCAATACTATGCATTTTCTACTAATTATCTGTACCAGTTTATTCTGTTGACTTGGAGTCAGGTGGGTTGCAAAGAATTCCAAGTTTGCATTGTCTTTCATATCCTTGTGATTAATGCTTTGCAAGGCAACACATGTTGCTTTGTGATCATGCCAATGTTTCCTTTGACATTCCCGGTCACAATAATAAACAGCTTTGCATTGTTTACAACAAAGGATAGTGTCATGTACATGGAGTTTTTTGCAAAACGCACATTGAGGGGACGTTTGTTCTATGTTCTTGGCCATCTCCTGTCCCTCGGAAATGGCCCCTGTTCGTTTTCCGCCTTCCTTTGTGGGCAGTGACCGGCTAAATGTCCAGCCTGACAGCAAATAAAACAATGTCTGCAAGTATTTCCATTGTTTTCTCTTCTACATTTGGGGCAACCCCGTGGATATCTTGGCTGGAACGGTGCATTACTCTTAGACACCTGTTCCTCAACCTTTGCTTTAAGGGAACTTAATTCAGACTTTATTTCCTTGATCTCTGCGAGGAGGTCCTGTTTTTCACTGGCTTCTGGGGATGTCCCCTTTTTCCCCTTTGCCCCCTCAACAGAACTCACCTTGGCACTTTTCGCAGACAGCCTCTCTGTTAAACCAAGCTTGTTTTCTCTCTCGGTCTTTTGGGAGGCAAGTTCATTGATGCTTCGCATAAGTTCCTCATCAGACACACCGTCCTTTCGTAGAATTGGTCGTAAACTAGTTGTCAGATACTCATCACGAATTCCAGTTTCTAAAGCTTTCAGAAAAGTATTCTGGATTAACTGGCTACCATAGTTGAAATCAGTGTCTGCTTCCTTACTAGCAAAAACAACTTTATTTCTTGCATCCATAATTCTTAACAAGAACTGTTGCACACTTTCTTTGGGTTTCTGGCACATTGTAGTTAGTTGCTGGTACAATTCTGAAGCTGTCTTCTCGCAATAATGGATCCTTAAGATCTTTCGTAGTTGGGGAAGACCAAGTTCTGGCATTGTCTCAATGTAACTACGGAGGCTTGTGTGTGGTGAAATAGCTCGGATTACTGCATCGACAATTTCATCCTCAGTGTATTTTCGTTTGAGCCCTGATTCAATCTGGTGATTGAGAGAGATATATGTCAGTTTTTCTGCTTGTCCTGGTTCTCCAATCTGCCCCGATATCTTAAAGTCTCTTCTCAACAATGCCCGGGTACTTGAAGGCACTTCAATCACTGATGCGTTTTCACTGCTGTTTACTTTGACTTTGGCAGATTTATCATTAACTCCAATTTCCAATTTATCTATCTTTGCTTGCATTTCTAACAATTGTTTCTCTTGTTGGCTTTTTAACTGTTCATATTCCTGTTGCAACTTTGACAATTCTCCTTCTTTCTCATTTACTGGCGATAATTCAGGAGAGCCACCAAGCGTTAAAAAAACATCGTTCAAAAGTTGATTTTTCGCCGTCGGGCTTTCAATTCCTTCGACAATTTCTTGAAGCCATCTCCGTACTAAATTTATTATCTGACCCCTCGACTTTTCTTTCAATTCTTCGATCTTTTCATACTTTAACTTCTCGGCCGCTTGCAATAACACATCCACATCGTTTTTATAAAGTAACTCTTCCACTTTTAGTTGTAATTCCTCGAGATTCTCCATAGTATAAACAAATACAGCAAAGTCAAAACCCTTTCGTATCGTCTTACATAATGTCGCTTATATTTCCACCAAAATCGGCTTTAATTCCATCCCTAAACCAGTTGGCAGCCCCACGTTGGGCGCCAAAATGTTACTCCTATTTCCCTTCACGTATGGAACATAACGATTGCAAAAGATATATATTTTATTACTAACAAAATGTGAACTATATAAACTCTCGTTTTACATGTGCTCGAAGCAACTGTTAATCTATATATTGTCCCGCGAGTGTCCCACGCGTGATTCTTGCGTAATCATACAACTAAGGGCAGGGGCCCTACACAACTACCTGAAAAATACAAAATAGAACTTTGACGTTCCGAGCGAAGATCCTTCGTTTAGAAGTTAGTAGCTTAACGTCTGGACCTTCCCGAGTGAGGGCCTTCGAAGTCCTCCTCGTATTGATTTTCATGCAGTCACATCGCTTGCATCAACCCAAGTTTTGTTATTATTGACACTGCCTACAAGATCGTTTCTAATATTAGAAATAATATTTAACATTGTTGTTTGAATATTTTTTACTGTGTATTTTATTTTTCCATTTGTTAGGAATACATTAACCTGTCTGAGTACAGCTCTTGTAATTATGAAAATATCGAGCATTTTCAACACGAAGGTCAGAATGTGTAAAGAGGATTACTATGGCCTGGTTTTACAGATAATAATGGAGCTATATGGAATTAGATACATCATGATTGTATAGAATATTGTTGATAAATGATTGCAAATGTACTGTATATAAAATTGAATACACCAATTCCGTAGAAAGTTTTATGTATTAATAAGTATAGAATGAACAAATTAATAAAAAATCGTTTTCGCTCCTTTTTTGAGGCCCATGCAAGCGTTGTTTTGTGCTCACATCGTTGTTTGTCGAACGAGTTAATGAAAATGCAATCAGGTATAATAAAACAGTTATTGAATTCGGTTTTTGTGATATCCTTAATTTAATACTTGCCTTGACCTTGATAATTCTGGATAAAAAAAACCCTCATCCAATAACGGTTTATTATTTGTAATTTTTGAGCGTAATATTAAAATACATAAAGTGAAGAACGAGTTTTGAAATATGGATCCACGATAAACCTGGCTTTAGACGTTTCATGCATTAGAATCCCAAAAGGGAAAAGCTACGGCAGTCTGTACTACACAAACATTTGTTGCGTGTGCGCAAATCTTTGATCAAGATTTCAGCTGAAACAACACAGACAGATGTGTACTGGTGTAAATTTGTATAAATTATTCAGATATATGAGTGCACAGCAGTTGCAGTCCAATTTGTTGCTGTATTCCATGTAAATGAAGTTCGGGCAAATTATAAACGTAATTCGGGCAAAAATTGGGGGGGGGGGGAATAAATTTAAAAATGAAGAAGACATGGATATTCGACAAACGCGTTTGCTTGTTATGCGTGCGGTTTTGAACCTCAACTATCGACCTTACTCCTTAGTTACCTTACACTTTTCATTTCAATTCACTAAACTAGTTACGATGCAGGGTTTTTAACGTGAATTTCTACATAAAATGTGCAGTCCTTAAGGTCCAGTCGCGATTCGACAACGCAACGCGTTCTTTTAGTTTTTGGAAGTTAATAAAACAGAGCCAATAAGAACAAATTTTGAAAGACATGTAAACCAGATAACTCAAAATATTATAGCTCTTCTAAATATTTGGAAGTTATCGGTCAGTGAAAATCGAAATATCGCGTTGTCGAATCATGTCCGGTGTGAGTGGACCTTTACAACACGATGTGGCGTTACCAAGTTACCAACGGAATTATAAAATTAATACATTCTTATGCAATTACTAAACTATTACATGAAGTAATTGTTTTATAAAATAATAACTTTCCGTGTTAAAATTTCACTTTAAAAAACTTTCACTTTAAATTTCCTTGTTGGGATGGCCTGATCCAAATACGGGATTCGACCAATCAGAGCACGCGTTATATACATGTTATTTTATAATAATATTTACTTGTTTTTTCCTTGTGAATATTTCAAAAAAATGACAAATATGAAGTCAAATATATAACATTTTCATTACAGAAAATATAAGCATTTTCTGGGGGAGGACCCCCATCGCCAGTGAGAAGTAGTCAGTTCTACTGACTACGGAAGCGAAAAAAGTGGGGAAATTCAAGACAATCGTTCATTTGCAACCATGCATATTTTGCAGAAACAATTTCTCGCAGGGAATTTTGCCGTCGTGGAATCAGGGCTTAAGACAAATCAAAATTTTCTGGGCAACATGCGCACGTAACATTCCTGCCCAAAGTCGATTTTCTTTCGCCACACAAACTTGTTTCCAGGCCTTTCCCTCTTGAACAAGGCTGCCTCCAACCCAACTAAACTATTATTCTGCCATCTATACAAATTAAAAGTCTATATAAAAAATTCTTCGATGCCTCCGTCAGACACCTGATTCTTCGTAACATCCCTGTTTGTGCAGTTCCACATTTTTCGTAACATCCCTGATACCATTGTTCTGCTTTTCCAGAGTTGCTAGGATGTCTGAACATTAAACATTACCGATCCAGAAACAAAGTATGTCAGGAGCAAACATTGTTTACATTTCTCACAACATCTGCTTTGTACCACTTTACGTCTCAGCACTGACTTTAATTACTACAGAAACAAAAGTAAAATAAATGACAAATATTTCTGTTCAAATACAATTTACATTTCTAAAACACATCTGCTATTCACAAACAAACAAAGACTATAACAACCGTCACTGCTATATTTTTGGCATTGCTTATTGATCAGGAACAGAGGAAGTTTGGGAGAAAGAAATATTTTATTGCTCTAAATCTATTGAGCTGAGGTAAGTTTCAGTTGTGGTTTCAGGTACTTTGATATAGCCCACTTCTGCATGACAAATTTATTTTGGCTTATATAGTTTGGACGACAATTTCAAAATATTCAAATCATTATTTTACTCAAGACTCACAGTTATCATGTTATATCTGGTATCAACACGTTTTATAACTGATTTTTTTAAATAATCGTAGCCAGTGTTTATGACTCGTTCCCTAGAAAGATATTTGGCTATCATTGTCGAACGGATCACAAAAAGGGTTCATAGAGTGACTGGGTTACCCAAGCCTCAAGAGGTTTGTTAGTAAAGCTCATAATTTAGTACTATAATGGCAGGGTGTAATGCTAATTATTTGAGATATACAATATTTGTCGTTGAAACAAAAGTCCAAGAGGATATTTATTTCCTGCCCCCCTTTTAATCGTTTTGCACTTTTGCAGTTGAGAGCTCTGAAATACTTGGATGAATCAATAAATAAACTATATTATCAGGAGGGTAACATTTAATAGCGAATAGCGCACATTATTCACATTAAAGCCAGTATTAATAGACTTCACGGTTTATTACATTTTTGCTCCAATTTCCTCGTTTTCATGTTTGTCTGTTTTATCATGGCAGACGCACATGAAAGTTATATCTCCATGTTTTGTGCACGAAAATGTGTTTGTCCAATCACAAACCTATTCTTCACGTTACCGTGCACAAAACATGAGGAATTACCAAATGAAAATGCGGTCTGTTCATGCCGAAAGTTTATGTTTCAGATAAGTATGCAGCCCTTCGTTGTATTCCTGATTGGTTTTCTTGTTGAACAAGTCTCAACTACTGTCTATTACGTTGATGTAAAACGTGGGGCCGAGGTGAATGACGGGAAATCATTAGGTGAACCATTCCTTACAATACAAGCTTGCGTGAACGCTTTGTCAGAGCCTGGTGACGAGTGTCGTGTAAGGTATGCGATGTGGAATGAAATCCTTGAACGACAAAACTTTTACATTATATTTTATATATTGTTAATTCTTAACCTTCTCTTCAATACGCCCCATTTTAAGACCTCTGCCTGAATTCATGAAGCACATGTTGTGCCCATGTATGATGGATATGCCACGCCATTTTGACGCCATTTTCATGTCGTCTTTGACGTCCACGTCCTCGATCTAAATCTGTCTATTAATTCACCTGGACGTTAACTTACTACATTTCACACATGGTATGTTTTGGAAAAATCAGCAGGCGCCCCTCTTATTTATTAGAATAGTATAGCCTGTATAGGTTATAAGTTTTTGTTCATATTTCTGAGAAGTTTATTATATTTGCTTCATATCTGTTTATCTAAGGTCTGGTCGTTACCATGAAGACGTTACTATCCACGGTAAACATGGCAACAAACACCATCCAATTATTATAGCTGCCTACCAGAATGAATCACCAATCATTGATGGTACAGTCTTACTAAAACCAAGATGGAGTAGACATAAAGGAAGGATTTTCAAAGCACAAATTGAGACAGACATTTGGCAACTGTTTGTTGATAACATAATGATGACCAATGCACGCTGGCCTAATGCACTGTGGTCGGATTATACTATATTTAACAACTCTTTCTGGGCCAAGTCAGCTTTAACCTCTACACCCAGTAAAATGATCGATAATGGTGATCATGATCTGGCTGGTAGCGGGATTAATGCAACTGATGCGATGGCGATATTGAATATTGGTAGTTTTAACACTTTTGTGGCTAGGGTTCGTCATCATTCAAAGGGAAGCGACTATTTCACCTATAAAAACACGTTTCATAGCGATCATTTCAAACCAAAATTGAATCAATATTTCTTGGAAGACAAACTTGAATTACTGGATCAACCTGGGGAATGGTATTACGATGAAACATCGCAGACAGTATACATTTGGTCGCTTGATGGTAAAAATCCAAAATGGAAAGAAGTTCGTGGTAAAAATCAGAGCTATGCTTTTACAATCACAGACTGCCGCCATGTTGTTTTTGAAAACCTCAATTTCTTTGCGACAACGCTCCACGCTTACACAGAGTCCACAACAGAATTTATCGATCAACTTCAATTTAATTCTCTTAATTTCAGTTTTCCATCTTATTCGAAACGCATGCTAGGAGATCCAAAGCCACCTATGTGGACAAAAATCTTCGCCAATAAAGGACGTTATGTCATGAAGACATTTAAGATGTTTAACTGTACATTGTATGGTACTGATGGCGCAGCTCTACAGTACAGCGGTATAAATGTAACTTTAGAAAACAATTTGTTTAAATATAACGACTGGAGTGGAGCTATGATGAGTCAGAGCGGCGGGGGAATGGGGACGATTGTCTCGTATGGCACTGGTGATAAATTTGTCCGAAACACACTTGAATATAATGGAGCAAGTGTTGGTTATAGGTATGGAATTCACGCTTCTGGGAAGTATGTCACCTGGCTTTTGAGCCTCGTTCTCATGATTGACATGTTACGTTTTAACTAATGCAACACACATACGAAAACGAGGCTTTTAACAAATTGACGTACTTTCCAAAAGGTTCTTGTGCTGAATAAAATTGAATGTCAAATGAAATATATGACCAAACTTTATACACAATAAATTAGTCTGAAACAAAAACTGACAAACATTACTGCATAATCTGCTTTTGATTCTGCACTGAACAATGTTTCCAAATAAACGCCTAATGTTACGCAGGCTATGTTTCTTATGAAATTATCTATTGTATACGGGTGTTTAAATAATAAAGTCTCATCTTTATAGATTGAATGGACTTGGCAAAAGTAGAGTAGAGTTAAACCATTTTCATCATCAATGCTGGGGTCGTATACAGAATGACGGTAGCCATGTTCAAGCTCAAGTAAAAGCTCAAACTAATACTTCGTTTGTTCAAAACTGGATCCACAACAGTCCTAAATATGCTTTACGCTTTGATGGTGAGCCTCCTAATGTTGGAAAATATGGAACAATGTCTCAAAATGTTGCTATGAAAACTAATGGCATCATGGTTAAAGGTGATTACCATCAAGTCTTGAACAATCTTGCTCTTGATAAGTACAATGATGAAGGTGGTGATCGCCAAGGCAATGGTTGCGTTTTATGCGTGCTGCGTTACGTTCGCAAGAATCCCGTTCCTATCAATAACAACACGATTGTGCTACGAAATGGCGCGCAGACTGCAAATGGCGGCAAGATTAAGAAGAAAATTTTCCCACTGGCAGGAAAGGTTAAGAAGTATAACATGATTGGAAATGTACGAAAACAGGTCGTTGACGCAGACAACTTTGATTTCCGTGTGGTGAAGAATTCGGATTATATTGAGAACAATGTTGGAGCTTATAAATACGAACCGAAGATGATAAAATACTGGATACCAGGTCAATTGATGTACAAAGCTAGCACTCCAGGTTGCAAAATATTTTTATTTATCTTTGTTATTATCTGAACAATGACCTGCCCTGGTTTTTGTCGTAATTATCCAAAGTAGAAAACTTCAAAATCTTAGTTTCTATATTTTCTAAAACGACATTATTGTATTATTATGTGTTTTTCATGTGGTGCAAACACAAACCAAACAATTTATCATTTTCACGTAGTTCAGGCACAGTATCTTCAGTGAACTATGTGAAAATGACATCATCGTATAACCACGGCATGGCACATTATCTCAGAACACTATCTCCACTTGACTCTCACATTTATTGGAACGTGCATAATTTCTACTGGAAACAAATTTGGCGCAAAACTGCAGTAAAATAGTACGCCGACAGTCAGGGACGCCGGAACTGGGGGGGGGCAAGAGCGGCAGCCGCCCCCGTTGCCCTTTACCAGGAGGGGCAAGGGGGGCAAAGATGCCCTTTCAATTTAAAGGATTGCCTTGGCGAAATAGCGAATTGTCAGAAATATTAGTGCAATTCTTTTACGAATTTGCTTCAGAAAAGGCAAGAAATGCAGTCATCGAGCTTCAAGAATAGCACAATCGCCTGGCGGAGAACCCTCTCACACCCATAGAGATTATAAATAACACTAGAGGAGGCATCGAGTTTAAAAATTGGGAACGCAGCTAATGGGGGGCAAATTCAAGTCCCGGATATAAAATTGTGCTCTCATTGGCTGATTTGAAACTCTTCACCAATGGGAACACGAATACACATCCGGGACTTGAATTTGCCGCCCAATAGTCGCGTTCCCTTTTTTTTACTGAATTAAGATTACAATGCCTCCTCTAGTGTTATTTATAATCTCTATGCTCACATCCCTATCATCCAACAAATAGAAAGCATGATTAGGCGAAGTTCAACTCCCGATGTTTTGCAAGCATCTCTTAGTATATATCAATTCGGAAGTGCCCTTTCACGAAAATCTGCCCCTCCTTGCCTTCACATCGTTCCGGCGTCCCTGCCGACAGTGGCTCAAAATATTGTGTAAAATTACTCAAATTTATTAAGCAAATTTACTAATTTTTTACTAAATTTTTTAGTAAGGTGAATCGATCGTTTATCTTTTATACAAAAAAATGAGTAAATTTGAAAATTTACTCAAAAATGGAGTAATTTTACTCAGAATTTTAAATCATTGTGGGTGCATTAAGTTTTCAGTCAAAATACTCGGCGAGTTTTTGTAGCGTAGTGTTTGCATTTGCTATTGGAAATCTGCTTTAAATTTAAATTTCGCACTTCATAATCTGTCTACTACTAGTTACTTAATCCATGAGTTGCTAATGTTGAAACTAACCAGTCTAGTTTTTAAGACTTTCTTGGACTTTTTATGTTGTCAGTCAAACCCCCATACTTTTTCAAAATTGCCCAACAACGTCCTATCTCTGTTACTGTCTGTTTTGACACAAATGATAGATCGCGTCTTCGTCCTTTGTTCCACGACTGAAGACCTTAATATGGTCCGTGTGATGCAGACTAAGTTGGGTCCCGACAACCCGACCTCTTCATTAGCGCATTGGTGAGGACAAACGTCATGGATTGGAAAGCATTTTGCAGAAGTTGTTGGACGAGAGTCATTTTCATGTTTTAAAACGTGCCTGAGAAAGTTTGATTGTGTTGTATACAAAATACCATTCATTTTTACCATGAACATGCTAATTATTCTCTTCTACTCTAGTTCCACCAAACAACTCCACTGTTAAACCTAGTCGTGATGCTCTTATGTGGCTGAACGCGTACGGAGCAAAAAAACATCGAGTGTATTTTGGAAAATCCACCCGTGCACTGAAATATGAAGAAACGCTGAGTGATGGTTCTAACGTGTTTTATTTGAAAGAATCGCTTGAGCCAGATCAAAGATACTACTGGAGAGTTGATGCGGAGTTGTCTCCAAATGAAATATATCAAGGCGATGCATGGAACTTTAATGTTGATGCGTTTATTGTTGATAGTTTGGACCAGAAATAGATTACGAATATATCATTAAAAATACCTTTATTTTGGCCTATTTTGTGAATTGAGCAATCGAATGTTTCAGGGCTAAATTATGTGTCATCAAAACTATCATGTTGTTGGTGAACCCAATATGTAAAGGATGATGTAGCAAATAAACGTGAAAATATAACCGACTATTTTTTCCTATGCAATTCAGTTCATAGTAAACACATATTGTACACGTGTGCTTTCAAGAAAATTCGAAAAGTGTCTGTACAACACAAATTCTAACAAAATAGACGAAAATCATAATTATTTCCATTTTATTTACCATGCATTATATGAACTAATATGAACCAATTTTGTGATTGAAAACGATGTTACAGTGAAATAATGAAAAAATACGTCCTCATCCCATTTTAACCCCAAAACTAATTAACTAAATTACTAAAAGAAAGTTTAAATCGCCTAAAGTTGGCCCCTACAAACTGTCAATTTCAACTCGTTAAGAATCGTTGAAAAGAACTGCAACAAACATGACAAGGTGAAGAAAGATTCCAGGAATAACACAACGTGATCCGTGAGATACTGGAAAATCAAGCTCTATTTCTCGACTGCTCCGTTTTCCATCCGCTGACCTGGTACGTAATTTGACATTCCCTGACAACTTTGACACTGGTGAAGAATATTCTTGCCAACCTCCAGAGGTCTTATACTCAACCTTCAATCCAGGAAATGCAGAACTCGCTACCAGTCTACCAGACTCTATCTTTGCACCGGGCAATGGAACACGATAATTCACCCCTATTTCATCCAATTTTCTAAGTTCTTGATAACCGAGCAAATTTGCAAACGCTTGCCACTCCATGTTTAACTTTTCTTCCCGAGACTTTTCATCTTTTTCAAACTCTGCTTTGTGCCAAGCTCGTTCAGCTACTGTTAGAACTCTTGGAAAATACATGTAAAATAGTTGATCTTCAGTACGCACTGTTTCTGACCAGAGATGACCTTGGATTCCGATTATGTTGCTCTTCTTTAAAAGCGATGGACAGCTATTTTGTTTCTTACAGAGTTCACTTTTATTTAAAGGTCTTCCAAGTCGATCTTCTTTAACATTGTCATAGACAGTATCTGGCATATATCCAAATGTTTTCTTACAATCAGTATATCTGGTTGCCCAGTAATAACCACGTTCTTCTGGGTCAGGTTCATAAGGCATATCAAAGTAGAGATGAGTTGCATGAGCAAGGACAGTTTTATATCCTGCATTTGCCAGACGATATGCTCGGTCAAATGCACCCCACTCCCAAACGTTATCCCATGCATAACTATACACACTACCTTTGGAAAGTTCAGTTTTGTTAAATATTGTGTTGCTCTCGATCAAACCGTCCTCCCATGCAGCAAAACTGATGTTGTATTTCGCAGTTATTTCTGATAGTCTGTTAGTAAAGTATTTCTTCAGTGAATCAATGTCTTTATTCTGGGCTGTGAGTTTTTGACATGCAGTAGAGTTGATCCAGGCGCCACGTGCTACCTCATCCCCACCCATATGGAATAGTTTCAACGGAGATATATCTTTGTGAAGTTTAACAAGAGCTGACAGAACATGTTCAATAAAATTGTAGGTAGAATTTAAACAAGGATTAATAGCGTTATCTCTGAACATTTGAACTGAAAAATATTTGGAAGGATCGCCAGGTTCCGCAAGGAGAAACTTTGAAGCATCTTTACGAACTGTTTCATTGCTTGAAGCATTATATTGTTGAAATCTATATTCCATGGCTTTGATGGCTGCATGAGAATGTCCAGGCATATCAAATTCAGGGATGATTTCTATATGAAGTGATTTAGCAAACTGAAGAATCTCCTGATAATCTCCAACTGTAAGGAAACCACTTCCTGAAGTAGTCGTTGTTGCTCCAGAACCAATCTGTGGTGCTAAACACATCCCAGTATCATAACATCGCTTGCTACCAAACGTTGTCAGTTCTTCCAAACCAGGGATCTCCAGGCGCCATCCCTCGTCATCAGTAAGATGCAAGTGCAGTTTATTCAGTTTGTAGTTTGCCATAACCTCCAGTATTTTCAAAATCGAAGTCTTGCCATGAAAATTACGAGAGATATCCAGCATTAAACCTCGATATTCAAACCGTGGCGCGTCCTTGAGTGATATCTAATAATAGAAATCACTCAAATTAGTATTGAAGAGATTGCTTATGCTCAGGAGCGTAAATTCTTGGGGAGGAGGTGGGG